AGCTAAGGATTATGGGGAAATTTGGTCAGATGTTTGGGAACTCATTTCATCTTTATCCCTCAGTCATTTCACACAAAACTGGATTAAAAATGATAAATAACTACGATTAATTATTTAGAACCAGTGTTAATTATGATTGAGATATTATTTTTTATATATACACACATATACATTTTTTCATTTTCCGTTTTCATTTTAATTTTAGTTAAAGTTGGTTGTATGTTTTTGTCATTTATATTTGCTACTTTTTATGTATATATAATTTTTTATTTATTTATTTATTTTTCAGTTAGCATTTATTGTAAGACTTTTTTATGGTTTTAGTTTTTGGTAACTATAATAACCCTGACTGGGACACCGCTTAATGAATGAAATATGCAATATAGTACTGTCTTGGGGCAATGTAGCATTTATCATTGCATGCTGTTTCATATACTTTTCTAGTAGGCAGAATACACTATATCTTGCTCAGCATGCATTATATTCTATTCTGAATGCACTGCCATGTTCCGTCTTCGTTAACTTTCCCAAACTCTCCCTCTCCGTCTGTCTCTGTCTCATTAGGGCATTTGTTATAAAGCATCAGTATGGATGAGTGAGAGTGGTCAAAGGGCACGTAGCCGTGTCACTCGTCCTGCAGCGCTGCTGTCCGTGTGCTGGGTCACTGAGCAGAGAGCAGCCTTTGAAACAGGAGCTCAGAACACAGAGAGCTCATTTCACAAACCAGTAAACTGGCGTGTGAACAGAGCAGCCATCTTATTTTGTAAAATAATATTATTTGCAAATGCCTAACCAAAATGATGCTGGTATGCACACTATATTTGCTGATATACTGTATATGCAAATAATGACAGTAGTGGTTAGTTTATCAGAATGACAATACCAAACCTTGTGGCGAGCCACAGCCGTGGAAAAAGGGCACTGGAGAGGTCACAGTCCTGCTCATTTCCTGATTGGGGTCTGTGTGTGTCCGCCAGGTAGGAACGTAACAGCGACAGCACCTGTGAAGATGATGACACACCTTTACTATGAGAATAAGCTGGAGAGAAAGAAACAGAGAGATCAGAGATTGATATCACAGAGAGAGATCACAAAGAAAAAGTATACAGAGAGATCAGTGAAATCACACTACTAATACTAAAACAGTCAAGATTAGACAGAAAGGTTTTAGACGGATCAGAGACAGAAAACAAAGTCTTTGTACTCTTCACAATTTTGCTATTATTCTTGCCAAGTACTCTGTTATTTACTTTTTTCCTTTAATTGGGATCATGGATCAGAGATTAAGTGATCATCAGATTTAAATCAGAGATATCAGGGAAAACAGAGAAAGAGATTAACATTTAGAGATTATATATAAATGATAGAAAAGTCAGATAAACAAGAGAGGGATCACACAGAGACCTTAAAGAGGGAAATCAGAGGGATAAATAACAGATCAGATCGGATAGATAAATCTGAGAGAGATCAAACAGAAACATCAGATATCATAGAGAGATATCAGATGCATAAATCAGAGATCGGACAAATAAATAAGAGAGGGATTAGATAGAGACATTAAAGATAGAAATCAGATCAGATAGATAAATCAAAGATAGATCAGACATAGATCAAAGAGTGAATTCAAAACGTATAGATCAAACAGTCGAATCGGAGATCAAAGAGATAAATTAAGAGAGATAAATAACAGAGATCAGACAGATATCTCAGAGATAGATCAGACAAAGATATCAGATTGATATAAAAGAGATATCAGATGACAAATAAATGAGAGGGATCAGATATAGACTTTAAAGATAGAAATCAGATCAGATAGATAAATCAGAAAGATCAGACATCAGATCAAAGAGAGAATTCAAGACATAGATCAGACAGAGCAGAGTCAGATCAAAGAGAGAAATCACAAAGATCAGACAGATAACTCAAAGAGCGATCAGACAAAGACATCAGATTGATATCAAAGAGAGATATCAGATATACAAATCAGAGATCGGACATATACATTGAAGAAGGATCAGATCGGATCAGATCAGACTGATAAGTCAAAGAGAGGGATCAGACAGAGATCAGACACAGCAGTCAGAAAGACACCAGACAGAGAAATTAGAAAGACAGATCAGATTATTCATTAGTTCATCTTTCTTAATCAAAAAGAGAGAGAAATCAGAGATCAGACAGAGAAATCAAGTGTCTTAAGCTTATTTTAAACAGTCTATAGAGAGAAATAAAATGAAGTAAATGGATAGTAGACAACTATGCATGCAAGGTTAAAGAGTGTACAACAGGCTGAAATAGTCTCTTTACTGGGTTATAACCGCAATGTGGAAGCCACTCATTATGCCCCAGGCAGGAGAGGCACAGGGCAAAACAAGTTTGACCATGAAATACTGAGCCTGGTCTTCCAGCTGCGGACACCCCCAACACTAGCAGCCCACACCCTGTATCCCACACATCTAGCCCAGGCCTGCTCTCGCCGTCGGGTGGGAAGGCCCATGACGGCCAGCCTCTTCTGCGCCCTCTGAGGAAAGTGTGTGTATTTATAGTGACGAACTACACAACTTGTGACCGACCACAAACCAATGGCAGCAGCTAAAGGCAAAAATAAACACCCCGTAGAGGTCCATAATTCAGCAGAGTGTACAGAGAGCCGTGCACACATTTAGAAAAGAAACGCGCACAAACAAACACCAGCACACGGCCTGAATACATTGCTAGATGCTGACCTTTGACACACTAAGACCTTTGGGTCGGCCGTTAAATAAGACTGAGGAAATGTTTTAAAAGCCAACCTGTGGGCGGATGCTTTTATGAGTAGATTTGGAAAGTCTGGACACAATCTGAATCTAATTAAGCTTATTTGTCTCATCAGTTTGACATTTTTTACAGGCTTTTCCTTAAAGCAGAAACAAAGCTTGTATGAGTGGGTGTTTCAAGGCCTATTGAAGCGGTCACTAAAACTAGACCTTTGGCAGCAATGCACAACACAGAGGAAAGGCATAAAAAAAATTAAAAAAAAACTTACAACATCAACCAGTCCTAACCAGGCATGATGAGACAAGTTTCTTGTGACAAATAGTTTGCTTAATAGTGAAAACAAAAATCAGGCAAGTAGTAATGCAAATTAGTACATATTTAAAACTCAGTTATGCGGAGTGGGATTTTTGACCAATGAGATTTCACTGTGGGTTGAGCTATCCAGCACACAAAAATGTAAGGAAAATGAATATAATAATTTGCGGATACATCCACTATGATGCAGTCAGAGAAATATATTCTTACTTCACACTAAGACAAGAAAAAGCACCATTACACAAACCTGTCCTTTGTCTATATTCACTTAATCTGGCTGTTGTCAATTACAGAATTGACAAAAAAAAAAAAAAAACAGAAAAAAAAACAATATAAGAAAAAAAAAAACCTGTTCTCCATTTACAAAACAAACTAATCCACACAAAGAAAACAAAAGAAAAAAATGGATTAAAGTAAAAAATATATATCTGGCTGCTCCCCATTTATAAAATAAAACAAATAAAAACAAATACAGACAGAAAAAAACAGGAATAGAAAATAAATAATCTGTCTGTTCTCCATTTACAAAACAAAACAAAAGCACACACAAAACAAAAAACTAATCTAAACAAAACAAAAATAAAGTTGATCTTAAAATAGTTGATATTTCCTTAAATAAACAAAGGACGGCTCTCACTTATTTGCTCTCACAAATAAATAAATAAAAACACACACACAAACAAAAACAGAAAATACATTCACACAGTCATAAGTTGAAGCAGCACACAGTACTTTACCTCAAAATTGTGTGTGCACTAGTGTGTGTGTGTGCAGGACCCCAATTGAGCGGAGTACGTCTGCTGATCTGATTTACTGTTTTCAAAACACACAGTGGATTAATTTCCCTGTGGGACCTGGATGTTACCCAGGACTTTTTAAAAGAAGCTGTTGCATTGTGGGTAAGCAGCAGTGGTGGAGAGCACTCAGAGCAGGGGCCGAGGCGTCAGGTTAGGTTAGTGCAGCTCAATCTGTTTCCCTCGTTAGCCGGCTCCTAAAGGGAACCAGCGAGTTGTGTCAACAGGGATTTTTAGGTGAACTCAGCAGGGTTCAAGCGTTTTACTCAGCAAAGCTGGTTTTGTAATCAAAATGGCACTTTGAAACACTGTGGTGACAAACTTCATTTCATCCTGGTATCAGAACTCTGTAATGCAAAATTGAGGGTTGTGGGTGATGTGTTAAGGAAGGTGTACATACAGTAAAGCTATTTTTATAGGTATCCGATTCAAACAAAGAACAAAAAGGTTTGAATTCAGGCCTGATACAACAACATCTGCAACCTGTTTTCCTCCCACCCCCGCTCTTTCTGTTTTTCGTATTTCACTTTCTCTTGCCATATCGGTTTAAACAAAAACACACTGTATCATTTGCTTACGGTCAGTAATGTCCAAAGGAATGTTAGAATGATGAATTGTGCACTACAGAGATGATTGTTTGTACTACAGAGATGATTAACACCCTCAAATTATGTTACTTTTTTAAGTTTGCGATTTGATTTGATTACCAATTCAATTTGATTCACTTCAATATTGATTATTTTGGATATATACTGTATATCAGGTACAGTACATGCCAAATTTTCTTAAGGAAAAAAATCTCTCAACTAAAGCTATAAAATATACATGAGAGTCAGCTGGTTCTACATTACTATAATGTTGAAGGTTAAAATTAACTGATTTGTATACAAGCACTTAAATTCCACCCAATGAAGTTCTTCTAAGATCAGAATATTTCTACTACAATTGGGGTTTTTTTTTTTGTTTGTTTTTTTAAATATAAACATATAAATGGTGGCTTTAAACATTGAAAAATTTTAATGAATATGTTATATGGTGCATATATTTGGCAAAAAGCTCCACTCTAGAGTTCATTTTTCTAGATGACTGACGAGTTTATGGTCACCGAATATGTTTGTTTCTGAGGTAAATGAGACGTTACATGACATTGTTTCAGAATCAATTACAGAACCACTGATGTCACATGGACTATTTTACCGATGTCCGTTTCTGTCTGGAAACATTTCAGTTGCGTTGCTGTCTATGGAGGTTCAGAGAGCTCTCAGATTACATCAAAAATATCTTAATTTGTGTTCCGAAGATGAACGAAGGTCTTACGGGTTTTGAACGACATGAATCATTAATTAATGACAGCATTTTCATTTTGTGGTGAACTAACCCTTTAAGCTAGTATGCCACCACCTGATAAACATCCTAAACACACTAGAACCCACTAAGAACATTATAGAAATAGTACTTCAATTCGTGACTGTGGAGGATCAGAAATCACTCAGGTTTCATTAAAAAGATCTTCATTTGTGTTTTAAATATAAACGTTAATGCTTATGGGTAGGGCTGCAACAACTAATCGATAAAATCTATTATGAAAATCATCGACAACGATTCTCATTATCGACTAGTCGGGTCTGCCCATAGTGCACGTCCAACTTCAGTTGGTCGCGTCAAATTACAGCACAGAATTACGCATTTTTATGGACAAAATGCATCTAAAAATAGTGGAGGAAACAGAATGAGTTGCTGTGGGAGAGTTACGTGATCCAAGCTGCCCAAAACATGGAGAATTCTTTATTTTAAAGGGGTCATATGACGCGATTTCAATGGTTCCTTTCTCTTTGGAGTGTTACAAGCTCTTGGTGCATAAAGAAGATCTGTAAAGTTGCAAAGACTAAAGTCTCAAATCCAAAGAGACATTCTTTATAAAAGTTAAGAGTCAGTCACGCCTACCTAAAACGCCTCGTTCATATCTACATCACTGTGTGGGAAGATTTCCATAACGCCACCCAAATGTTCACGCAAAGAGAGAAGGCGTAACTTTTATTCTCGCTGTAGTATTGTTGTTGCCACCGCCGCTATGTCGTGAAGACGCTGTGTTTCGTTGTGAAAGTGAAGCTACTTTGTTTGGCTTTGCAAAAATGGAC